ATGTCATTTCATTTGGGTCACAAAACCTGTGTGACCTGTTAAGTTGTGGGAAGTCAGTGTTTCTATTGTTCTACATGTTTGCTTTTTATGCAACCAATTCTTATTGATGAAAAGGGACCTGAGACATAAAGTCTAGACATGCAGGGTGGCTATAGAGAGAGAACAGAAACAACTAGTTAAATTGCCTGTGAATTTCAAGCCCCAGCCTGGCCCCATTCCCCACCTGGCTCCAGCCTCCCAGCACTTAAAAAAAAAAGCCCCACACTCCCCAGCTGCAGGAGCAGCAATTGGGGCCTCTAGGTACTCATGGCAGAGCCCCCCTGTGCAGCACGGGGCAGGGGGGGGCAGTGGGGATCGCCCCCCCCAACCTGGTACCCACACGGCAGCTGCTCCATGGCGCAGGTGCAGTGCAGCTTGGCAGGGCACTGCACGCTGCCTGGAAGCTGGGGCCACTGGGGATGAGCACTGCTGGGCTCCAGCTAACATGTGGAGCTGCTCCAGTTCCCAGGTGAACCAAACCAGGGGCTAGGGAATTAAACTGGGGACTGAGAATTGAACAGGGATCTGGGGAATTGAACCAGGGGCTGGAGGAACATTCAGGTCCCTGAACATTCCCCCAGTTCCCAGTTTGATTCCCCAGCTCCCCAGTCTTTCCCCCAGTAATCTGATTGCTTTCCCCAGCTCTTCCTGGGGGGGGGGGGGGGCGCAGGCCCCCGGTTGATGTGGGATGACATCAGGCTGCCATTGCTAGCTGGTGACTGTGGCAGCTCTGGGCTATTTCCCCAGCCAGCAGCAGCAGCCTGTTGAAACTCTGCAGAGATCTGGGGGCTGCACTGCCCAGCAAGAACTGGGGGAAATGATCAGAGACCTAGGGAATCAAACCGGGAGCTCCAGCTGAGAGGTGAAGCTGCCCCAGCTCCCAGACAGTGTGCGGCACCCTGCCCAGCTGCGCTGCTCCCACACCACAGGGCAGCTGCTTTGCAGGTGCCAGGTGGAGGGGGGGCAATCCCTGCTGTCCCCTGCTGCCCCACACTGCGGGGGGGGGGGCTCTGCCATGAGCCCTCTCTGGCCCCCAATTGCCACTGCCAGAGCTGGTGAGTGTGGGGCTTTTTTTCTTTTAAAATTTTTTTAACATGCCAGGACTAGGCTGAAACCGGGCAGGAGATGGGGCTGGGCAGCACAGCCATGGGGGCTTCTCCCATGGCTCCTTTGGCTGTGCCTGCCTCTGCCGTGGCAGGGGAAGATGCAGGGTCTTTGCCCTGCTGCCATTTGCCCGGCCAGCATGGGGGGGCAGGGCACAATGCATGCACAGGTCACTCTGGGTGGCAGCAGAGCATTGACCCCACTCCCAGCACTACCGCACCTGCATCCCACGCCCCGCTCCCCAAGTAACATGCCCCCACCTACCCCAGCTGGGTAGCTTGTCCCAGCCCCAATCCCTTCCTCCCCCATGCCCCTCCTCTCCTCTCCCCGAACCCCATCATGGGGGGGCAGGGCACAATGCATGCACAGGTCACTCTGGGTGGCAGCAGAGCATTGACCCCACTCCCAGCACTACCGCACCTGCATCCCACGCCCCGCTCCCCAAGTAACATGCCCCCACCTACCCCAGCTGGGTAGCTTGTCCCAGCCCCAATCCCTTCCTCCCCCATGCCCCTCCTCTCCTCTCCCCCAACCCCAACAAACTTACCAGCTGAAGGCAGCTGTCAACTACCTGTTTAGTCAATGGCCAAATCTCTGAATTGGCCAAATCTTTTTCTGAAGCTTTTCTGAATGCATTCAGATGTTTCGAATCAATTTGGAGCTTTTACTTAGTCCCCTGATTCAATTCAAATTTGGAGATTCAGTCCCTGAATCAGGCTGAATCTCATTCAAATTGAATCAGCTACCGAAGCTTCATGCAGCTCTACTTACCATTTCATCCCAGAGATGACTTGTTCTGAAAGCTTGAACAACAATATCATAGGAGAGACTTACAGAGAAAAAGAACTTACTCATTGTGATCATTTCCAATGACCCTTTCTAAATTGTCCTAACACTTTGAAGAATAGATATAGAAAGTTGACATTTGACAAAGGAATAATCTAAAGTGAGAAAAATGTCTGAGAATTCTGTACAAGTTGGTCTTGATATGGGTAAGCATATTAATTCACACATACATATATATAAAGATAATGGTAGTGCTAACAATTTCTTGATGTTCTACAAGAGGGCAAGCTTTTCTGCATCTGCTTTTGTGGCTAATATGTACTGACAGATTTGCAAAGTGCAAGTGAGACATTAATACTTGTCTATATTTACTGATTTGACAATTCAGAAAATTTCAGAAAGCTCCTTAGGTTACAGTATGAGCAGTCTTTCATCCTAGCTCATATTAGAATATTGTAGGATTCACTCCCACAAAAAAAAAAAATCAGTTGAATCTGATTTAGAGGTTTGTCAACTAGTTGAAGTCTGCTTCCCTTAAAATTATTTCACTTAGGAGAATGCCACTTGTCTTTACTCTTACTTTTCTCCCTACAGGGATAAAGGTTAGAGCAAAACACTAGTTCTGCTATAGTAAAAGTTCAGAATTCCTTTCCATTGGATTGATTTTCCTATATGTTCTAAATCTGAATAATTCTGGGGATTGCTTTGACATTTGTGATGCATCATGGAGGTCCAAGGCAGAGTTAGTCCTTCTACTACCCTCTCCTCTAAAAGAATCCAGCATTTCTTAAAGATGACATTTTACCAACTTCATTTGAGTACACCTAGGATTTTGATCAAGGCTCTGATTGTGTCCCCACTGACCTTAGTCACTTGATAGTTCTCCCTGATAATGTATGATTCCAAAAGCTTTGGAGAACACTAAAAAACTACTGAAAAAATAAAATAAAACAAAACAAAATAAAGCAGTTTAGCAAACGTTACATTGTGCTGCTACAAAAAACTGCCAGGATTTTTTTTTTTTTTTACTTATCAATATACTGACTGAGGAGATGTAGTAATGTCACAGTAGCAAAGCTTCATCTAAATCTTAATCTATGTAACTGAGGAAGTGTGTGACTTCAGTAAATGATTTCCTGTGACATGGGTATGAAAGGACAGAGGCCACCAAACTGCTAGGGGCTACATTTTTACATGCAATGGGCTTTTAATGTCTCAATGCTTTAATAAGAGAGGAATATATTGAAAATATTAGGAGGAGCTAGATTATAAAAGGAAAAGAGGATGGGGGTGCAAGAAGAAGGATAAAAAGCATGCCAGTTTATGTCATATGCTTAAAGTAAATGAAACTGTCACATAATAGCACTCGAGATGGTTGGGATACAGAGTAGATCTGATTTATCTCACTGGTCCCGAGAGTGGTTACACACTCCAGATCCCAAGCAAACATAATCACAAATGTTATTCTCCATAACAAGGGAGGAAGGAGCACTGAGAGATCACTTAGTAACTGCCACCACATCAGTCCCACAGCAGAAGCATAGTTCTGCCCAAGACGACCCTGCACACATACCACCCCGCACTACAGGTATATGGAAGCAGGGCTGCTCTGAGGTCATCCCTAGCATCCTCTCTCAACCACACCGGACACCTAGGTCTAGAGAGCAATCTCTGAGGTTTACCCTGAAGAAGCCAAACCAAATATTGAGGCGGTTGAATTATGTGTGGGGAAGCAATGAAAAGGACAGGCTGTGCAATGTCTTAGCTAGCACATGCTACTGAAGTGCTGTAGACATGTCCCTCTGGCATGGACCTGCTAGGTGACCTGGAGCAAGCCACCTCACTTTTCTGTGCTTCCCTTTCCCTGTTTCTAAACTGCTTTAAAATCTCTTGGTATTATTGTAGCTGTAGTAGCCTTCTTCTAGCTATAACTCTTCCCAGTAACTATAACTACAAAAAATAAATCCTCTTTCTGTTCAAAACTAGGGAATTTAAAAATAATGAAAGGCCAAGGTTACCCTGTGGCATTTTGTGCCCATTTAGAAAATTAGTTCAATGATACTCAAACCCAAGAAACCCTCAAAATGTAGAATTTCAAGGCTCACACCAATAGAAGCTTAAGTCTGTCCTCTTTCTGTTTGGTTTCACCCACAGTATTCAAGTTAAAACTGTATTCACATGTTACTAAATCAGAAGACTACTCACTTTTCATCTCACTGCTGAGAAATTTGACAGCAAGATACTATTGCTACATTACTACCAATGTGATCTGAAGAAGAGAATGCTGATGTAAGGCATATTTGATGTCTCGTGGTACATATGCACAACTTTTCTTTTGATCACACATGGGAGACGGGCACAGGCCCTTAGGCGCTTCATGATCCTTACAATATATTCACTGCTCTATTGCCCACTTCAGACTCATCCCTATATCTCCTTAACTGCTCCAGCTAATCCCCATACTGTTCAATAAAGCAAAGTTGCACCTAACATAGTAAATGCAGCCATGGAGGCAGATAATTCTCAGTGACTATGGCCAGCTCCAGAGAAACCTTAACTCTTCTTCTGGTTTTGAGATGTATGAAGGTCCCCAATATCAAGCATGCTAGAAGAACACAGTACAAGCTTAAATCCGCATTAAAAGGTTGGGGTTTCTTTTGGGGGGTGGGGAAGCGGTGAGGAGGTGTTCATCAGTGAGGTCATGTATATATAACCACTTGTGGCTTAAGGTACCTACAATAGGGGTGTTAAACTTATGGCCCACATCATATATGCCGTATCATCTGGCTCCTGTGGATTCCAGAAGACTAAGACTGTGGGGAACAGAGCAAGGGCCACTGCCAAAATCTGAGATATGGAATCCTACTGGGGATGTATCAGTAGTGGGAGGCAAGTGACGACTGCATTATCCCCCACAGCTCCATGATGCTGCTCATAGGTGACGCATGGGGGGACACATGTGCCCCCCCTGAGATAAGGTGCTGCTGACTTCTGTGGGCAGTCACTGCCTGCACCTCCCCTCCCCTCACTGCCAACGTGGCTGCCAGTGGCTGCAGGTGGTCCCCACTTACCGCTCACTGCCACAGTGCCTCCCCCAGTCTCAGGAGGCACCAGTCATTCATGATGCTGCTCATGCCAACACTGCTTATCCTGCCAAAGGAGGTAGGTCCAGATCCAGCACACCAGGAGCCCTGCAATCTGTATCAAGCCCAAAGGAGTCAAATCAGTTTGATACTCTTGCTCTTCAACATAAAGGATGGCAGAATCTCATTAATCAGTAGTTAGGGCTAACCAAGGAGTGGTGTTATATTATCTTAGTGTACCTGTATGGGGAAGCTGTTCTGACATGCTGTAATTACAGCATGTTGGAGCAGACTCAATTAATTGAGTCTGCTAGAGCATGCTAATTAGAGCACTTCAGCCAGATTTTGTGTCTCATGTATCAGCCACTCAGAGCCACTCTAATTAAAACGCACCTCCCCTCCCCGCTCCGCCAGCAGACCCTGTAAAAATGTCCTTAGGATCTAATTTTTAGAGAAGCTGGGAAACAGCAGCTCCCACTCATTTTACTTGAAATTGTAGGTGCTCATTCAGCATTTTTATTAAAACAGAACTGCAACAACAATCCAAAAACCTACTCTTAGTCATCAGAATAAAGCACACAATTGCTTGCTTTTCTTTTTCTGATCTGATTCTGATATTGTTATTGGTTTATGTCCTCTTTTCTTTCCCTAGCCCCTAGTCTTCCTACTTTTACTTGTGAACAAAGAAAGTGCTGGATCATCATCAGGTGTAGATCATATCTATTTACAGCTGCCCCAAGGTCTTTCCCACTTTTTTTACTATCTTTGCCCTATTAAATTTCCTTTACAGGAATGACTGAAAAAGGAGAAAGGGAGTGTACAGAGGATATGTAGTTTATTCAGCTGAGCTTGGCTACTTTATCTTAGATCTCAGCTTTTATAAGATAGAAGTCACACTCCAAGTGTGCTTAGCCCTTGGCCTCCTGACAACATCCATTGGGCAATGTACACTAAATGTGTGCAGGTTTCCTGATAGCCCCAGTTCCAATTCCTAGAAAAGGCTGTTACTATCTCAGTTGTAATTCTTCACTTAGAGAAATTTGATAAGAGTAATATTTGTGCCCAGCTCTCATCAGAGCTGATTTTCAGATATTGGCACAGGGGAAGAAAATCTATTTAGATAATCAAAGTCATAAGTGATGATCCCCCTGGCTGTGTTGCAGCTAAATCTAGTCTTCTAGACCAACAATATGATATGATATTAGGGATTTTTTTTACAGTTGGCTTAGGTTTAAATCTTATAGATGGACAGCTATTTGGGGAGGGGGAGTGAAAGAAAAAAAATCCACACATGATAAAATATTTAGTGTCTGAGTATTTTATTCCTAATTGCTAAAATTTTCCAGGTAGTAGTTTTATAATTAAGGAACTAATTTGCTGAATGGCCACAGCATTGGTTGGGATTTGACTGACATTCAAGTCCCAATTTTGCCACTAGCCTCTTGGGCAATTGTAGGTAAATTACTTCCCTGCTCTTGACTGGTTTCCCAAACTATAAAATGAGGATAATCATACTGACCTTTCTTTTGAAGTGTTTTGTGATCTGAGGGGAAAGGAGTTATACAGGAACTAAGTATTATTATTTTCGGATCTGGATTAGGGTAGGAATCAGATTTTGCAGCTAAATAGGCCTAGAACCTAGTGTTATAGCCTAGGATTTTCAAAAGAGTTGGCACAGGCCTCATTTTGCTCTTATTGCAACAAGGAAGAGTTTTAACAGGGACATCCAGGGAAGCAAAGTAAGGCAAATGTTTAACTGCTTTGAAAATCCCACCCATATTAGATAGTGCTAAAACCTTCCCAGCTACTCTGGCAAACTTTAGATAAAATGCTCTCTTAATCTAGTGTGAAGGACAATCACAAATAGACAAACTGAGTTTGATTTTTTTGATTAAGATCTAATGATAATTAAAATTCCAGATGTGTAGCAAAATTAAAGTCACTATGGGTGCCTGCATATGTGCAGGGAGGCTGCTCCTGTGCACTGTAATTACACCACATCAGAACAGACATGATTAATCGAGCCTGCTGGAGTGTGCTAATTAGCCTCAGAGCATGAGCAAAAACACCCTAAGGGGAAAAGCTGGGAAACAGAAGCTCACACTAATCTCACTTAATTGTAACACCTTTATATCTCCAAATTTGGCTTGGATTCTTGTTAGAAGTTCTAGCAATGGATTTTCCATTCTTTTCTTCCAATAGAACTGCAAACACCAGTTTACCAGGAAAATCATGTAAAAATGTAAAGACATTTATATATTTAAAAAAAAATAAATAAAATACAAATCTTCCCAAACACTTTAGAATATAATAAGATGCATCTTATTTGGGGTGATAGCTGGGGTCAATTTTACTTAAACCTATCTACCTGCCCCAATATAGAACCTGGAACTGTAAACTATATTCTGATCTCCCTGCTTCTGTAAGTATGGCAACTTCTTAATTATACTTTATTTGTATGTTTTCTGTAGTTCTAATACTTGTGTAAGAGATGACTGGATTAGCAATTTGGAGGCCTGATCCTACCAGCCTCTGAATGCTCTCAGTTTCTTTGAGGAGTTTGAGTAGTCCTTCTTCTCAGAATCCTATATGTTCTTGTGTGTTAAACTATCAAGGAATGGGTTGCTCTCTTGAAGGCTACAGAGGTTTGATACAGTGCATCCATATTTCAGAAGATGGGTATAATAATATTTGTAAATTTCACCAAATTCCTTACTGTAGAGCTGATCAAACAAGATCCCAGTGTCAAAAAAAACTACTGATAATAAAAAGCTATGTGGCGCACGTGGCAGCAATTTACACCACCAGAAAGGGAGCTTGGCTGCCATCTGGACTTTGAACAGCTGGCTCAGTGCTGCTGCTGCCCCAGGAAGCCCCCAGGACCTGAGGTAAGGCTGCTGGAGCCCCAGGTCACTTTGCTGCGCACCGGAGCATGCGTGCAAAGGCATGCCTGGGGACAAATCGCAGCAGCATAAATATGTGCAACTGCTATTTTTCCCAAGGGAAATTCAGCCAGAAAGAGCACGAGTCAGAATGTGAATTATGTTTGCACACCCAGCAGTGATAACATTGCCTAGCATCCAGTGGTACCCCTGGAAGTGTCTCAAGACACCCCAGGGTGCCAGGGCACCCTGGTTGAGAATTACTGCCTTAGGGCAAATGAGAATCAGCCCTAACTCTTATTATAGTATACAGCAAAAATATAAACTGCTAACACTTTTTAAGGTGTCCAAAGTGTGCTGTTTACATTATAATTGATGGTAATCCATTATTTTGGCAACTGGAAGATGATACACTGTAATTGGCAGACATGCTGTTTAAAAAGAATACTTTACAGAATAATTATAGCATTTGACTGGGATTTCTTTCTGAAAAAAATATTATAGTAAAAGGTAGGAGGCAATCCTGCAGTGGCTGAATTAAATATTGTTTGCAGCTGCTTGCCTCTTCTAAGAACGGAACAACGAATGTTAACATGACTTTGGATGCATCTACTTTTATTTTGGTGTTTGTAATAAGTAGCATGCATAAGGATGTGAAATTGAAAAAAAACAGGTCTGTATTTTAAAAATGATACTGTATCTTGTATTTGGCTCTCTTGCCTTTACTCGAGTGACTACAAAAGAAAATAAAGTGCTTCCGTACAGAGATTTATGTCTTGACTCAGACCAAGAACAGGCTTGAGAAGGGGAAAGGAATAACTGATCTACAAGCAAATGAAAAATTAAGTTTTTCTTGTAGATTTTTATACTGAGTACACAATCGAAAGGAATTAGGGTTTTGATGCCTGTCCAATACCTACCCAAAGAGGTAAGATGACACAAAGGATTTTAGATTTCATCCCTGGAACAGCCAATTCTGGTAAACTACTTATTGGCAGTGGGGAAAATATTCTAGTGCATTTAACTATTACTTTTAGGTGCTGGGACAATAATTCTGAAACCAATGTGACTAAGGGACATCTGCTGACAGAAAAAAACCCAAAACCTATCCAAAGATCCAGGTCTGATATTGTCGACCCAATTAACTTTTACTTCTGTAGTTAAGTATGTCTGTATCTGTGCAGGGGTTGAGACTTTACTGCAGGTCTGTTAAGAACTGGGTAAGAGGTTTTGACACCTCTTACCAAACACAATACCGAGGTAAATTATACATTTTGGAAGAAGGCTTCATAGGTCTTGAGTCCATGAGACAAGAACTATGATTATAGCCTGACAAATGGACTATTTGAAAAGATACTACCTCCACATTACTTCATGAGACAAATGGGGAGTATAGGAAGATACAGAGGTGGAATATAGAAAGTCTAGAGTCTTTCAAAACTGTAAAAATACCTATCCACATCTACACTTCCCAGACCAAGCCTTGTGCATGAGCCCAGCCTTAACACCATACTTTCTCTGTCTCTGTTTTCCCTTTGGAGATCTTCCAATGAACTATCTTTTGAAATAAAATCCTTTGCATTAGTATAGCTGATTTTGATTTCCTTCCCACTCTTACTGTTTTTTAGGAATCCATACTTTATTTATTCTGCTACAGTATATTCACTGGTATGAACAATTCATTCCTTTAAAAATCAGTTCTTTGAGGGGGACACCAAACAAGCAGTATTTGGAAATGCCACATTTCCATCCCTTATTAAAAGTAATTAGGCAGGAAAGGAAAAACAGTTTTGTTTTGTTGTTTTTTTCCTGAAAGAAGCAACAGAGTTTAGTTTATAAAGCCCAGCTTGGGGTCACAGTTGCAATACAATGAGGACAGACAAATGAGGAAAAGATGTCAAGTATTTCCTAAGAATCCAAATTGCTTATTTTGGAGAGAAGGATAGAATGTACTTACATAGCATTAAACAAGCAATGTAGCCAGGCTGATGGCTCAACTACTTGGCAGACACAGAGATATAAAAATGAGTGTTGAAAGATGGGAGAACATTCTCTCCTTAGTACACATAATGCTGATCATATTAGAGAATTTCTTGATCATGGATCAAACCCCCACAAAAAACAAACCCTTCAGAAAGTACTTTTTATATGTGTTTATGCCTATGGTGACATTTTAGTCAATAACAATGTTACTATTATTTAAGCCTTTTTTGGTGGTAGCTGTGTTGCTCTA